TGTGTGTGTGTATGTGTGTGTGTGTGTATGTGTGTGTGACGGACTCAGATTACAACAGCATAAGGTCCTTCCAATGAATGATATTTCCACTTCCATTAAATTTGTCAACTTCAGCGTATTAGCCCAGTTTGCTGACAACAGCGCTTATATAAATGAGCCAAAATGAGGAAGATATTGCTGATGAAAGAAATGATTTGAAATACATATTTGCTCGATCATTCGATGATTCGTTATTTCGCAATAAACTTGGTCAATTATGTGCTCCCTATCTTGGTGGTATTTGGACAAATATATCACATAAGCAAATTCGTATCGTTCCACAAAGGCTGGTTTCATATTTTGTTATATGTTTGAAATATTTTACATCAGTGCATTAATATATCAATTTTATAGTGATTTAAATCCGGTTTGTTTTACCATAAAATTAAACATAAACTTATGTTATCTTAAAGTACGTTTTACTTTGAAATACTCATATTTGACCGTAAGAGCTGAAATTTGTTTTACTCTGATTAGAAATGTCATTTATAAAATTGCTCATTTCAAACTTTAGGATTTCAAGTATTAAAATGTTAGAATAAAATTAAAAGTTTAAATTATTCCTTGTTTTTATTCAAAATTATTTTGTCCAATTATACAGGGGTGGATTTAACAACAAAATTTTTACACGGTGGAATTACCGAATGTGATAGAAACTCAGTATGATGAACCACGTAAAGCAATTCTTCGCATCTATGAAAATCTCAGTAAAAACTACGAATTACCGGAAGGCATTATCTGGGCTATATTAGCGGAACGGTTATTTATTTAATTTGTTGTCATTAATTTACCTTATTATTTACGTACATTATACTTTTTGCGTTACCACTCTTATTTATTTGAAAATCGATAACCAATTTTTTTGATATCTTATAAAATGATTGCTTTGCAATGAATTACAAATAAATTAGCCTATTTCCCACTGACAAATTATGCTAACATGAGATTATTTCATATCCTGTAATTTCGCATTAAACAATTCGAATAATTCAAAACTTTTCGATTACTTTAGTATAATATTTAAATAATTTAAAAATTGTTAAATAATTTTTTTTCTGTTAATTTTTTATTATTCACTGTGCAATATTTGTAAGCATTTGGGTCCTCGTTTATTAGGGATATTTCCCGGCTGACGCTTTGAAGAATATATTCCATCTCGTCCGCTTACTAACAAAGAATACTGCAAACCGTGGTTTGTAATTTTTGATGTGCTTGCTTAACACTTCCGCTGGAATGGGAACGTAAACGCATTTCGCTCGAGAATATTTGCATCTCTCTCGAAGAACAATTAGTCTGAATAGACAAGAAAAAATGAGATGGTATTCCATTTATTCGAATTATTACACTTATTTCAGTATTGCACAAGAAGTTGGTCGAATTCTTGCACGAGTATATTCATTAAATATGTCAATCGATAAAACATATCATTTGACACAATTTGTGGATGATCTGATCGAAAGTTTAAAAAGTTCAATTCGATTGTCAAAAGGTTATCCAACGCGTACTACTTTAGCGAAAGTTGATAAAGAACTCGTAAATAACGAATCGTTATCACTTTTACTTCGCTTTTCATTTTATTTATATTTATTAATTTTTCATGGTCAATATTACAGTGCGCAAATGTTAGATGTCTTATTATTGATTTTATCACGATTGATCTATTAGAAAAAGAATTGGAGATATGGAAGGAATGCTTGGCACGAAGTGGAAGCCCACTTGTTTTCAGTAATAATGATTTGCATGTATGTTTGCATTTTCCAACCATATAATTTGTACTGAATTCAATTTAAAAAAAAATTTTTCTTTAAATTTTCGACTATTGGATTCTGTAAAATAACTTTACGAGATATTTCATATATGACTTATGATCTCTTTTATAGTATTAACTTTAGAGTTAACAGCTGTGAAGTATTATCAAAGTATGAAAAAACTCGTTTTCCGATATATTTTCAGGCAGGAAATTTACTTTTACGTCATGATATCGAAGTTACTGATCATGGCTTTGTCGGGCGGAAGAATGATAAGGAGCCGATTGTCCTGATTGATTATAAATATGGCTGTTATTATTATCGGTTTGTTTTATCCTTTCTTTTTTTCCTAGCAAAGAAGCTAATTGAGGCGAGGATATATTAGAAGCACATTTTATACGTAAATTAATTCGTCATGCATAATCAAAATTTTCTTTTTTCATTTTCATGCATCAGTCTTAAAAAAATAAGAATAGGGAAGCATGAAAACAATGAAGAAATAAAATAACACATGAAAGCTAAATATTGTTGTGAAACACGTGTAATATAGAAATGAAAAGGATTGCAAATACTGATGAAATTTGAATTAAAATTTATTAGGAAAGATTGCCGAACTCAGTGAATTATATAATTCATAGAATAAATTAGCTCATTACGTTTTTTTTTTACATCTTCACGTCACGTTTGTTTAATATAGCTGAAGCGGTTCGTGAGAATTTTTACCTATTAGTTTATTTTTAAAAGAACCAATAATTAATAACGATAATATATTTTATTTTAGTGATTTCGATTTATGTCATTACTGCGTCGAATGGTGTCAACATAACGAAGGTAAGCAATGGCTATACTATGAAGTGAAACAAAATCAATGGCCGAATGAAGAAATTCAACGTCTGTATGTCGGTGCCTATATCGATGAAGCAAATAAAGTTAGCAAAGGTTTTTTTTGTCTTCCTCTTTTGATTGCTACCGAAAAGTTGACAGCTAATAAGAATGTTATAACGATCGTGAAAAATCTATTGGAAATGGCAGAATAGTTTACGGTGAATTATAGTACTGAAATGTAAAATAATATTAGTAATGATATTTGAGAATGAGAATACTCTAATTTCCACAAATTTAAATGATCTTATTTGAATTTAAGAACTTATGATTTGAAAGAACAAATATACAGGAATTACTTTACGTATGTATTTAACTGCAAGCATTATGGATAAATTGTTTACAATAAAGAGGATAAAAAATTTCGTTTAAATTAGAAGAAATTCTCTTCAGATTTGGCATAATAGCGATGGAAAGAGAATCCAATGCATTATCGATTTATCGTATGATCGAGAATTAGCCATTGAACGTTTATTAAGCGAAATATGTCAATTTGCGGCATTTCTTCAATTGTTCTGGGCAATATGGGCATTTCAACGTGCTGAAATTAAATGCGGACAATTGGATCATTTCGAATATTCATTTGATCGCTTAGCGCTATACTATTTCTGGAAACCGGAAATTTTAAAGTATTTAAAACAGTAAAAGAGATTGAAAGAGTTTTCGATCAGTTGTTTTTTTTTCAGACTTTTTTCAAACTTTTTCAGACCTTGTAAATTTTTAATTTGCATATGAAATTTTTAAACAGAAATAAATTTGTTGAAAGAAGATTGGATGATTTAAAAAAAGTTGCCAAAATTAAGCAATAATTTAAACTTGATCGCACATTGTTAGTAAAACGATCGAGATTTTCAATCCTTTTCAACAAATTGATATTCTGAATAATTTAAGATACTTTTGATGATTGACAAAAATTTTTGTTTACCTATCCTCTTCAGTTTGGAAAAAAATCTGTGGAAAAAAGTTTACTCTTTCTTCCGCAACTATTGGAGGCTTGAAAAAATCTGATCGATGATGAGAATACTTTTATCCACAGATTTTTTTTTACTTTTCCCTTTAATAATGGGTTACAATTATTAGACATCTGTGATTATCAGAAAGTTTCATTATACAATTGGATATTTTTAAGTGACATGTGTGAAAAAAATATTTTAAAAAATAAAAAATTTCAAAATGCATCCAATTGTGTGATATTTTTTCTAATTATTTTCATCAAACCGATAATTCACTTTCACTTTTGCGTAGAAAAATTGAAGAAAGTCCGGAAAATCTAGGCTAATTGTCATTCTTTATTTTTTTTCTTGACTTTTTTCTTTTTTTTTGAGAGGAAAAATCGACGAAATGATGGCTTTTACGTATATTAGTTTGTTTTTTCTTATCTGATTTATTATACAAACATAAATGTTACAAAAATGTTTGTTTTATTATTTTCAAATATTATTCAATGCAGCTTCAATAATTAATTCGAATTTAAATGACAGATATTGACTTATCAGTTATCGATTTAATATTAGTAGCATTTTTTCATTAAATGAAAGATGAGTTCCGTATTGTGACAATTGCTAGGAACAAATTAATTTTTTTCGCAATTTTATAATTATTATTGGGAGCTTAGACTTATGCCTGCTTTCATATAATAATAATGATGATAGTTAAATTAACACTGTAAAAGTCTCGTAGGATATTTCGCTATGTTCTAAAGCTGCTTAATTAACTGAAGTAATAGTGAGGAGAAAAAGGAGAAATCGATAAATATTCAAAAGTGTGTGAAATTGAGCAAATAATACAACACGTTAACGTTACTGAAATAACTGTCATTTAATTAGCGGATCAGATGGAAAGATATATTTGGATTCGGTTAATTTTAAATTACATCACCTGAAAGTTTGGATGCTGAAATAATGCAAAAATATATTAAACGAATCTTTCTCTCAATTCAATTCATTCCTTTTCAAATCTTTTTCATTCGGCTGTAGAACATTTCCAATCGTTCGGTGTTGAACATAATTTATTTCATTTCGTTCATAATAAATATACAACAATAATATTATTGGAGCCTTCTTTTCTATTTATTTCATTTTCAAATTAACTTTAATCGTCCACTCTTTACATAATTTATGTATGAAAAAAAAGAAGTACCATTAGTAGAAATATGAATTATTGAAATTTGCAGAAAAAAATTTGCATAATTTTTTTTTATATTTCACAAAAAAAATCATTCATTCTATGACACATATGCATACCTATCCAGCAATATACTAAACAGATTATTTAAAGAAAAAGAAAAAAGAATTGAATAGTATAATTTTAGGAATTTATTGCTATAGCTTATTTTATTTTAAAGTTATTGCTAATTACAAATTTCTCATCAATTATAACAGAATATCCAAAAGTTGGACGAACTTTATGCTTTGTAAATTTGAATATTATTTAATTTTATTAGCAACAGCCAAAAATTTATCTTCGAAAAATTTGTTGCATTAAAAAAAAGAAATTAAGATAGATTTTGATAATCAAAGGATAGGATAATCAATGATATTCGTTATCAATAGCTTTTTTCTGATCGATTGAAATTTTTATTTCATAAATTTTTCACCAAAATCAATCAATAATTCCTATCTTTAAGCAAAAGATGATAAAAGAGATTACATTTTGCATCATTCATTGAATGGAAGGGAAGAGAGAAGAAGGGAATGTGCTTTGTAATCATTTTCCTTTCTCCCAATTTTTGTGTAATTGAAAATTGACAAAGTTATAAAAACAAAAAAAAAAAAAATATCATCCTCTTTTTGTATTTTATTTTTCTTTAGTGTTTTGTATTTGCTAAATGACTGTAGAAAATGAAGGAAAAAAGAAATTGAAGGAAGTAGAAAGGATGGCGGAATGATGGGGCGGGGGAGAGGGGTGGGAAGGATGTGGAAAGCGGGGAGATTGTAAAAAATGGAAGGGATAAAAGAGAGGGGAAAAAAGGTTGGAATGGCTGTCATCGAATTATTTTTGTTTTCTTTAGCTTGCATGCTAAAATCTCATCCCATTCAACGATAGGCCTTTTCTGGACATTTATGATGTAAGAAATGGAATGATTTTAATTTTTCTCGTTTTGGCTTATTTAAATTTTAAATTTAGGAATCAATTTCCTGATTTTTTAGATTTAATCTAAATAAGTTTTTTTTTTTGTATTTTTACAACTTTAAAAATTTATTTCGATGGATTTTTCGTTTTTTGTTAACTTTATTGTTATTTGAATGCTGTTTTCATATTCTTACTTATTTCAATTATTACTTCTCTTTTCTATCCTTTCAATGCTTTTAATTTCAGTTATATGAAATTTTAATTTGTCAAAAATTTCCACTCACATAAAAATTTGTATTACTGTGGGAATTTCCCTATCATTGATCGAGAAAAATTTTGGAATAAATTGAATTTATTGCTTCTTAACATTCATTTTTTTTGCTTCATAAGATTGGAAAATTCTTTCTAAAAAATTTTTCCACTGTTATGATGTGGAAAAAATTATAATAAAATGGATTATTTAATTTGAAATAAGAAAAAATGAACTTTATCAAAAGCATTTACTTTTGCTTTTTTTTTTCTTTCGCTATATTAAGGCTATAGAAAAAGGCGGAAAGGATGTTTACATATCTATCCAATAAAAGTAATTATAGTATATCCGGAAATTTATTTAATAAATTAAAATAAATTAGAAGATTTCCACGTAAATAGCATCATTTGAACATTTTTATGTTTAATATTGAATATTGGAAAATAAGCGATAGTTAATGAAAGGATAGTTCTAAACATTATATAATATATTTTTTTTTACCATTTTCATAAACAGATCGGTGTTAAAATTTTGTTATATTTGCCAACATTTTACTTTTAATATCATTTCATTAATAATGTAAAAATAAATTTTTGTTGAATATCCTACGTTGATTATAATACTGCTTAATAGTCGATTTGTGCTCATTAATTTTAAAATAGTTTAAATTAAATTTTGTAGAATTGCGATCCAAATTATGCGAATATGGTGCCTTTGAATTGCATTATCATTTAGTTCAATATTGACTGCGCCATAGTATTACATAATAAACATTTCGACTGCAGCATTTTTCTCATTATTTGCATTTTCAAAAAAAAAAGAACGAAATTCTTCGATTTCTCGATTTCAATCCTTATATATCATATGAAATTTTATATGAAAAATAAATAAATTACACTGGCAAATTTCATGAAAATATATCAAATGATTGAATAGACATTTAATGACGAATCTTTCCTCATTTTTTTTTGTTCTTTTAAAATTTAATTACAAAATGAAATTTACATGCCCTAACAGAGAGTGATGTCAGAGTGATTTGAATAAAATGGAAGAGTTTTGCATGGGATTCTTACATGAAATATAGCATTTTCTGAGGCATCTTTTGAAACTATACGCATTTGCTGAATGAAAAATGGCTGAAAAGTGGAAAGAAAGACTTGAAGTAGCACTAAACTGCGCCAATGCAATAACATTTAAGTGCATTATGATAAGAATTTAACGATTTTCACATCAATTTTATAGCTAAATTTGTAAGTTGTTTTTGCTAACTCAAATCAAACCATTTTATTCAATTTAATTTCATCATAATAAATCTTCCCTATTTTTTGCTATTTAATTAGCTCATTCATTAATTTTTTTTTCCCTTTTTGGTTTTTATTGCGAGAATGCAAACAAACGAATAGATTTGAAGAAGTGCCTAATTGAAAGGATATTGGCCAATTTCAGGTCAACCAACAAACATTCTTTGAAATCAATAAACACTAAAAAGGAAATGATTCATCTTTGAAGTACTTGCGTGCATTATCATAATGATTTCTATGACATTTAATTCCTCTTTTCATTTACTTCTACAAATTTAAAATACTCCAACACTCCATCTATTCCCCATAACAATTGTAAGAAGTATGAGAGGAAAATTTTAATTCATTTTTTTTTTTGCACAGCTCATTTTATCAGATGATATTTTATCAAAATAAATAAACGAAATTATATAATCTTATTCATTTCAATTGAATTTTTGATGATGTATTTATGGTAAAAGAAATTTACATAGCTTTTAAAACAATTGAAAATTGATTATAAGAAATTATACCAGAAACCAATTTTGCATTCAACTTTTAAAATTTATTTCAAAAATGATAAGGATTAATAAATAATTTAAAA